TAGCTTGATTACTTCTAGTACTCTATTTATTCCAATGTCCTCAAATAAAACGAGCAATAATACGTAACAATAAGGATAAAACACACACTGAAGTGTATTTGGGGTATTTTTGATCTAAATCCACTATCAAAATAACAAAATTTCCGTTTTTAAGCTGTGAATGTATTACAAAGACTAATTTGATGATAGAGAATGTGGCAAAAAGGACACGATATAGAATGATCAGGAGCGGAGTAATCAGACGAAAGTCTACTTGCTTCAGGACTAAAGATACCTGGGACATGCCCCAGGATGAAATGCAAAAGAAGTACAGTTTTGTGAAAAACTTCAAAACCACAGAGCTGGGCTGCAAGAAAGAATGGAGCCAAGAATCCATCGCGCTTGCAACCGAAAGACGTGCTATTCAGTGGTACACGGACGGTTCCAAAACCATAGAAGGAACTGGAATAGGAGTGTATGGGCCGAGAACCAAGCACTCCGAAAGCTTGGGAAAATACCCAAGCATCTTCCAGGGCGGAAATTCACGCCATCGAGAAGTGTATCCAGTTTAACATCGAGAGAAACTATCATAGACAAGAGATTATCATCATGTCCGATAGTCAAGCAGCCATCAAAGCGCTGAGTTCTTACGTAATCAGCTCAAAAATGGTATGGAGATGCCTAGAACAATTGAATGAGCTAGGCGAGGAAAAATAGAGTTACTCTCACTTGGGTCCCGGGACATAACGGGGTACAGGGTAACGAGATTGCAGATAGTCTTGCAAGGAAAGGGGCTCAAACACCCTTTGTAGGACCTGAGCCGTTCTGCGGTATCAGCAGTAATATAATATTAGAAGAGATTAAAAAAGAATTGGGTAGTAGAAGAACCGATAATTGGAACAATCTCTTGGGGCTGAGACAGGCCAAGATACTTCTGGGTGAATATAACCAAAAAAGATCGGAAGCCTGCATCTGCCTGAGCAAGAACAGGCTACGTATTGTAACAGGGATCCTTACCGGGCACTGCCGACTAAAAGGACACCTAAGTAAACTGAGAGTAGTAGAGGATAGTGAGTGCAGATTCTGTGAGGAGGAGGACGAAACCTCCATTCACATCCCAACTGAATGTGTAGCACTCCAGAATCCAAGGGCACTATATCTAGGAGGATATCAAATAGAAGAGGGAGACTTACCTAACTTGAAGCCACTTCAAATCCTACACTTCCTTGAGAAAATAGGATTGGAAGGGTCGCTATAGGCATTGAGACATTTCCTTAGTGCAGTGGCGACAGAAGGGGGCACAATAGATCTTTTAGGTCGCAGTGTATTAACACCCCATTATCAACATAACATAACATTACAAAGACTACTTCGATAAAATGTAAACAAAAGTTTGTATTGTGCAGGGCTGGTACGAAATATGGGTTGCCTGCGCATGGTAGCGAGTTTTTAACCGGATCTATGACAAGTGATAGGTTATATCCCGAAAACGTCAGCGCAGTAAAAGCTGCGCGTCTTTTTCCCGCCCAGGGAGTGTCATAGGCCTGGTTTTAACATACATACAGACATAACCTTTTTGTATTGTTCTCGTTTTGTATTTTAACAAGTTCTAAAATATAGTTAGTAATTCCTAATTACATGATTTATTTAATTATTACTGGGACTAAATGAGTATACAGTCTACACGAGTCAAACAAGTAAAAACACGCAATGCGTACGTCGCAAGCGTAACACGTCCAACAGAGCTCTTGAATGTTTTAATTGGACCGTTTTCCTACAGCGCGTGTTCCGCAGAGCATTTACTCCATTAAGGACCGATTCCACCGTTGTGTTAAACGGAGTTTAAAATGACATTTTTACATTAACAATGTCATTTTAATATCTGTTTAACACAACGGTGGAATCGGTCCTTAAACTAACGGTAAAAGGTCGAGAAACTCCGCACTTGACGAGACCACTTGTCCCCTACGTATTTTGGGGCACTGATTACGAAAATGAGGGTTAAAACGCAGCAATGGTTGGAACACCCCTAAAATTCCAAAAAACACCCATAAATAGGGGTGTTTTTCGACTATACTTATTGTTTTGCAAACTAACTCATCTCATATGTTTTTTGGGGCGCTGATTACGAAAATGAGGGTTAAAACTGGCAGCAATGGTTAAACCACCAATAAAATTGCAAAAAAACACCCCTTTACTTGTTGTTTTACAAACTAATTCATCTCATATGTTTTTTGGGTCACTGATTTCGAAAATTTAAATTCATTGTCGTCCAAATGGTTAGTAATAAGTAACTTAAAGCAGCCTTCCAATTCATTTGTGTTCAAAAAGTATCTTTTCTTTTTCTTTTTCTTTTTCTTTTTCTTTTTCTTTTTCTTTTTCTTTTTCTTTTTCTTTTTCTTTTTCTTTTTCTTTTTCTTTTTCTTTTTCTTTTTCTTTTTCTTTTTCTTTTTCTTTTTCTTTTTCTTTTTCTTTTTCTTTTTCTTTTTCTTTTTCTTTTTCTTTTTCTTTTTCTTTTTCTTTTTCTTTTTCTTTTTCTTTTTCTTTTTCTTTTTCTTTTTCTTTTTCTTTTTCTTTTTCTTTTTCTTTTTCTTTTTCTTTTTCTTTTTCTTTTTCTTTTTCTTTTTCTTTTTCTTTTTCTTTTTCTTTTTCTTTTTCTTTTTCTTTTTCTTTTTCTTTTTCTTTTTCTTTTTCTTTTTCTTTTTCTTTTTCTTTTTCTTTTTCTTTTTCTTTTTCTTTTTCTTTTTCTTTTTCTTTTTCTTTTCTTTTTCTTTTTCTTTTTCTTTTTCTTTTTCTTTTTCTTTTTCTTTTTCTTTTTCTTTTTCTTTTTCTTTTTCTTTTTCTTTTTCTTTTTCTTTTTCTTTTTCTTTTTCTTTTTCTTTTTCTTTTTCTTTTTCTTTTTCTTTTTCTTTTTCTTTTTCTTTTTCTTTTTCTTTTTCTTTTTCTTTTTCTTTTTCTTTTTCTTTTTCTTTTTCTTTTTCTTTTTCTTTTTCTTTTTCTTTTTCTTTTTCTTTTTCTTTTTCTTTTTCTTTTTCTTTTTCTTTTTCTTTTTCTTTTTCTTTTTCTTTTTCTTTTTCTTTTTCTTTTTCTTTTTCTTTTTCTTTTTCTTTTTCTTTTTCTTTTTCTTTTTCTTTTTCTTTTCTTTTTCTTTTTCTTTTTCTTTTTCTTTTTCTTTTTCTTTTTCTTTTTCTTTTTCTTTTTCTTTTTCTTTTTCTTTTTCTTTTTCTTTTTCTTTTTCTTTTTCTTTTTCTTTTTCTTTTTCTTTTTCTTTTTCTTTTTCTTTTTCTTTTTCTTTTTCTTTTTCTTTTTCTTTTTCTTTTTCTTTTTCTTTTTCTTTTTCTTTTTCTTTTTCTTTTTCTTTTTCTTTTTCTTTTTCTTTTTCTTTTTCTTTTTCTTTTTCTTTTTCTTTTTCTTTTTCTTTTTCTTTTTCTTTTTCTTTTTCTTTTTCTTTTTCTTTTTCTTTTTCTTTTTCTTTTTCTTGTTTTCTTTTTGCTAAGGTGTTTTAAACGAAATTAATAGTATGAAGAATATTGATAACTTTTTAGGTGTTTTTTTTTTGTTGATACCATCGAAAAGGCCCTTGAAATAGTTTTTGCTTACTTTCTCATTAACAAGAACGAAAGTATTAGTTATTAATTGTTAAGGTGTGAGCGAATTTCAATTTCAATCGGTCTTAAAAGTTAACGTAAATCTCGGCCGTGGTCCAAAAGTAGCCAATAAATTAGATTTTTCAGGAACCACTGTCAAAAACTCCTGTTTACTTCAAGTTAGTAGTCGGTTAATATTGGACCATACCCTAAAACAGTTTTATTTTACTAAAACCAATTTTTGGCGAACTCCTGGTGATTAAACGGTATTACCCGTATCATTTTTGCCACTGAACCGCTCGAGGGGAAGTGTTATGACGTCATACACTGACGTCATTTGTTGCTACCGCCGTGATGAATCTGTTCCCGGCCTCTTCAGGTGGTGAACAAACGGTTGATAGTGACAGTAGACATTTTGAGTTTTGTGATAGCGTTTTTATTTGGAATTTTTGGAAGCTGCGTTTTATTTTGAACGTTAATTTTTTTTATTTTAGTTGAGCTGTCTCTAAATTATATTTGAATTGTTTATTTAAAAGAAAAGTTGCTAGTCCTCCTCAATTTTAGATTTTTCATAGTTTGTTTATGGTTAGATATCTTTTAAATACACATAATATAATCGTTTATAATTAAAACGTTGACGCCGTTGACGGTTATCGTTAACCGGTTCATTCTGGCGAAGAATTTTTAGAAAGCGTCACTTGATGGTCGGGGAATTTGACATGTCACGGTTTCTGTGTCACTAGTTATCAATGAGAGCACCCAAAAAAATGCTTATAATTTTGACATAGAAATTGACATTTGTTTGAAATCGCAGCAAGTGTCCAAATGATCTATTTTACGCAACTAGTTGCATAATGTTGCACATTATGAAACTAGTACGAAAAATTCATTATATCACCAGTTGCCAAAAGAAAAAGAAAAATAAACCTTTCTGGCTTTAAAATCAATACATGGCTACATTACTATTGAAAGTTTATATTAAAGAAGGGCAGGTTGGACTTATAAAAATAGAATTTGATTAAACTTACAACCTGGTAATTATATTGTTTCGGCTCTTATTTTCCATTCTAAATCTTCACAAAATAATTGAAACACAATACACGACAAAATAACACCCTTTCTTGAAAACTAAATAACTTTAACAAGCAATATGAACACCCGACAAGTCATTGAGAATAAATTAATATGATTTTCTATTTTTTGTCAATAAAATAAAAAATGAAGTTATGTATATAACACTAAAAATACAAAAAAGTAATATTATTTGCCTAGATGTCAGTTATGTTTTACAAAAACACATTTTTATAAATAATCTAGTCAAAATTAAAAAAAATATTGTATGGAATAATGTAATATTGCGTAAATAGTTATTTTCTTAAACTCATTCTCAACTACATTTTTTGACGATTAAAAATTAATTTATTTTTGTATTTCAGGAAAACAAAATTTCTACAGAAGTCATGTATTTTAGCATTAGCAATTTCAGATATATTTACTGTCGTCTTATTTTCCATCAATTTTCTGGACATGTTATCCAAACAGTACGTTGAATGGGTAAGTATATTTTTGATTTAAAACTAATAATAGTAGTTTACGTTATAAGCCCGTTACCTAGATCTGTATTTTTTATGGTTAAAAATCCACCTTTAATTATTAAAAAAAGTCTGTCAATGATCAGGCTGTTATTTCTCTATCTAAAAGAAATATTTGTGTTAAATAAGCTATATTTAATCTCAACTAGATATGTTTTAAATTTTATGATAAACATACATATACCTTTAAAGGGTCATTTTATTTCTAACAACTTCCATGGCACTCCATTTATTAAGACACTTCTATCTGGTGAATATTTCAGGAAACGGATGTTTAGGATATATAATTAATCCTGACTAAGAAAGTTAATCCTTTTATTAAATGTTCATATTGTTTACATTACCTGTGGACATGAATTTGGAGCATAGAATAAAAAGAAGTTTCTAAAAAAATCTTTCTTCTCTCAGACCTGAAAATTTAGAATGCAATATATTACAGATGCATTAAAAAACAAAAACTATTTATAAATTAAACAATACAACCTTGAGCCCTAGATTAAAAATGCAACAATATGTCTGCATCTTTCACCTAGGCCAACTTTACAGGAAACATCAAGAAATATTTTTTTTATCGTTATCACCATTTTCGATCATAAATTCTCCATTTATTTCATGGGGTGCCAAAGTCACACCAGATGCCTGCAGACAGAGCTCAATTAATTTTAATGATGAAAAATATATTACTTTTTCAATATTAGTATTTATATTATACAGTGCTTTTCAGATAAAAGTATCCACCTTAAGTAACTTTTGAAGGACTGATTATTACAAAAAACAAAAAAATACGTCAATTACTATTCGAAGGGGGAGATATCGTGCCATATTTAAGTTTGCTGAAAAAGTCACCCTTTCACCCCTACTATCATCCCTTTAAATGGCTTCCCCCATTTTTTTATCCATTTTTGGATTGTTCTCGTTTAACTGATTTCAAAAATGTATAAAACATGGGGTTTAAAATAATTAGTTTATGTTCTACAGGGTTCCATTATTTGAGTGACAAATTTTTACATCTCACTTATCTCTCTTACTGACTGCAGCAAAATTGGATTTAGAATACATTATACCTTAATCGTACCGCTAAAAACTTGTTGAAGTTTTTTATGATACATGGTAAAGGTATTGGAGATTTGAAAAATGAATTTAAATTACTTTTATAGTGTATTTTGATACATGTGCACATTGATTTGTTGAGGTTATTTATTTGATTTGAAAATGGTTTACAGTTTACAAAAAAGAATTGAACTTGTAGGTTTATACTACAAAAATAACAGTTCTGCACGAGCTGCTGCTAGAATTTTCAACGAAACACACCAAGGAGGTCATGCAACTCATAAGTATGTAATTGATCTTATGCATAAATTTACATCAACCGGGTCAGTTGGCAATAAAAAACATAACCGACTGGAACTCGTAAATAACGAAGCAATTGAAGTCGCAGTTTTAGGACAAGTAAGTCTTGTAAATCAACAAGCACAGTCACTGACAACAATAAGCAGAGAAGTAGGTGTTTCATCTTCCACAGTTTATCGAATATTACACAAGCATAAGTACCATCCATACAAAATTAAATTGGTTCAAGAGTTGTATGAAGATGATTTTGATCGTCGTCTTGAATTTTGTGAACTATTGAGTCAGCTAGTGACTGACAATCCACATTTGTTGCACAACCTTTGTTTTTCGGATGAATGCACATTTTCAGTTAATGGTTTAGTTAATAGACATAATTGCAGATATTGGGCTGAGAGTGATCCACATGTTGTGCGTGAATACCACACACAGAATCCTCAAAAGTTAAATGTATGGTGTGGTATCCTAGGTGACCACATAGTCGGACCTTTCTTTTTAGACGGAAACTTAAATGGAGAGTCATATCTTGAGTTATTGAGAGAAGTAATTGATCCACATATTAGAGCAATAATAGAAAATGATCATAATCTTTCTGAAGATTTGCTTGTCTTTCAACAGGATGGAGCGCCCCCACATTTTGCTTTGCCAGTTCCACAATTTTTAAATGAAACTTTTCCCAATCGTTGGATAGGTAGAAGAGGCTCGATGATGGAGTGGCCACCTAGATCACCAGATTTATCACCTCTAGACTTCTTTTTATGGGATTATTTAAAAACAAAAATTTATGCTACCCAACCAGAATCTTTAGAAGATTTACGACAAAGAATAGAGTATGAATGCCTACATTTAAATGCACACGTGTTCGGTAATGTCAGGGAGGCTTTTCAATCTAGGTTATACCATTGTATGGAAGTAAATGGTGGACATTTTGAACAATTTTTATAATAAATTTTGAAAATGAAATATTCGTTATGTCATTGGAAACGCTTGTGACAAAATCATTAATATAAAAGTTTTGCACAATTCAATTTTATTTTAATTTAAAATTCTGTAGAACGTAAACTAATTACTTTAATCCCCATGTTTTATACATTTTTGAAATCAGTTAAACGGGAGCAATCCAAAATGGATAAAAAAATGGGGCAAGCCATTTAAAAAAATTGAAGGGATGATAGTAGGGGTGAAAGGGTGACTTTTTTAGCAAACTTAAATATGACACGATATCTCCCCCTTCGAATATTAATTGATGTATTTTTTTGTTTTTTGTAATAATCAGTCCTTCAAAAGTTACTTAAGGTGGATACTTTTATCTGAAAAGCACTGTATGTTTACCTGATGCTTCTTTTAAACCGCACAACAGTAAATGAGTAGCTTTTAATAATTGTCTTTTAATAATTGCCTTGACTGGCATGTCTGAAAGCTGGAATCGCTTTAAAATAGTTAAATATTTCTAACAAACTAAGTCTAATATTTATGTCTATCGATTTATATTTATCGACGAAGAATTCATGAAAAGGCCGGTTACGAAAAAAAAAAAACAATTATTCTTAGACTTAAATTAATACGATTTTCATTTATATATGGTTATAACTTTTATTTTAATAAAAAAATTTACTAGTAAAAAATATCTGTAATGGCAGTTAAATTTATTGATTTCGAATAATCAAATTTACTTCTATAAATGGTAGAAATAAAAACATGTAAATCCAGATCTGCTTTTTTTAGGCCACTTTAGTTAGTGCAAAAGACATGCCTAGCGGTCCCATTTTTGTATATCAAAAATATTTATAATGACTTATCCTCTGGTTGCTATATCAATGGTTGTTAATAGTCTTCATATGCTGAGTTTAAGCAGTTCACTCTGCATACGCGGAGTCACTCTATCGCACTCTGTCGCGTTCAAATTGCACTGTTTAAAAGATCCGCGTTAACTCTATTACGATCACATTAGGTAGACCAGAGTACATGGAGTTAATTATCCTGCACCACCTCGGCGAGGCATGATTCTGGAGCAAGCTGCGCAGTAATTCCTTTTCTTTTGCGATTTGTGGATATTTATCTCTGATTTATGTTTTCTTTTCCTCCATGCTGTGAATGTGTAGGTAAAATTTTATGTTCCTTTGCAGTTTGTAATAATTATGGAAATATCTGCGCCAGCTCACATTGCTGCTGTTATGTAGCAGGGAAACGATATATATGAAACGATAAAATATTGAGAAAGAATATGATTTCTTGATCGTAGTAGAATTTTTACAAACAAATAAAACTTCTTTGGTAGTATCGGTCGATTATATTTTTATCTCAGCACTACATATATTTCCGAATTAAAATCCCATCGTTTAGTGCCCAAGAAGCATTTTTCGTGGCGGAACGTGGCTACCACGACTATAGAAACTTTAAAGTGTATTGCCAAAGTTTCTGCCACGTAATAGACACGGATCTATCACGTGGCGGTAACCAAAATGGGGAATACTTTCTTGGTGGCAGCCACGTTCCAGCCACATTTCCGGAACTTATATAATCACGTTTACGCCACGTGGCGAAAACGTGGCGATAACGTGGCGAAAACGTGGCGATAACGTGGTGAAAACGTGGCGATAACATGGCGAAAACGTGGCGATAACATGGCGAAAACGTGGCAGCACGGTGGCCGACACTAAACGCTGAACTTTACTTACTGTCCTTGTCTTTTGATTGATATTTGGACTTTATATTTAATTAAAAAGTTAAAATTGTAAATTTTTTTATCTTCGAAATTATTTATTTAGATGCCTTAAACAGTATTTTGTATCAAACTTGTGTAAGAGAGTGAAAAAGGAGGAAGAGAGAAAGATAGAGAGAGAGAGAGAGATATTTTTAGATAAAGATAAACCTTAATCTAGTAAACAAAGGACAAAAGACAAATTAATAAATGTTTATATAATTACCAAAAAATAAAAAAAAAAAATAATAAGTGTCAGGATGTTTTGATTGACGGTCGAGGCGCTGTCCATTTAGTGCAGATAGTCGGGTTTTCCTATAAAGAAGAAAATACTCGTGAGTATCCGTGATCATTACTTTAGTAATTATTTATTATCTTTATTATTATCTTAATAATTTTTTATTATTATTATTATTATTATCTTTATAATTATTTATTATCTAAATAATCTTTTATTATCTTATTATTTATTTATTATCTTAATAATTATTTGAACAATCACCAAGTACAAAGGGATTAAGACACGCAATATATTTATTACTATTTGGTCTATTTCATTTTTAAGGCATAGTACCTAGGATTATGAAATATGGTCACAAAGGGATATAACGCGCTACGTGACACCTGCTTAGTTACTACTCTTATGGCGTAAATGGATTAAGACACGCGATATGCCCCACATTTTTATTTCTACTAGTATTGAGCGTGCAATGAGGATGAAGGGATTTAGACGCGCGACATACTCGCCCCACCTACTAGAGCTTGACCCCGAAGGTCGAAATCAGAGCCGTGCAATGAACAAAAGGGATTAAGACGCACAATTGTTCGCTCCAGATATCATTTTTATGTGCGCACGAATAATTATTAAATCAGTATTCAAACAGTTATCTTTATAATCTAATCAACAATTAAAT